TTACTGTTTAACATTTTGGGTTACTTAATGTTACTTCATGTTAAGGCTAATACAAATGACAAGGCTGTAATGCTAACTAACGTGCTTGCTACTAGCTAGGTAGTTAACTTGATCCAGCCACTCCTGGTCCTTTCATCAGACGGGAAGCGAAAGAACGAGCAAGACCCATTGCTGGTATGATTACAACCTGGTACTAAGCACACAGGCATCTTGTTAAAGTTATCTTATCTTAGATATCTCTTATATTTAGTGGAGGAAAACAATTATGACATTAGTTATGACATCACTTACGCGACTCTGGGATTTGTAGTCTTTCTAGTTGCGTATTTTTCATAGTCTTATATTTCAACAGTTTTACGACAAACTGTGACTTTTTTGACATGGAAATGATTTTTTAAGATTGACAAACATCATATGTGTAATTCATGGCACAATTCAAACGGGATCGAAAGATACGTTTTCTCTCCCCATTGACTTCAATACATAATTTTTCCGAAATAAGGTCCCATGGGTCGGAAGTAGATGGGCGGGACTTCGCCACTCTATTATACATCGCGTCACAACTGCATGCCAAAGGACCCTGACCAAGCGTCGCTATTGGACTATCAGGGAGTGAGACTGTGTTGACCAAACACATATTAGTCATGCAGAGATGGCAATATAAAATAATGTTGAACGAGCACATTTTCAGTGTATTGTGCACCATAAAATCTTGTTTAACTTTGTTTTTTTTATGCATTTAGGCCAAAGTTAGCAAAATAATTTATTCTTAAAAGAGATAGCCATACAAACTCACTGGTAATATTCCCTAAATCTCTTGTACTGTTGATGCGGAAGCATTTCTTTTGCAATGATCACAAAACATGTTCATGTATTTTCAGAAAAACTCCTGCAGAACACAAAATATAAAAGTAAAGCTATAAAGAAGTAATCCTCTCCTAACCTTACCTAAACATTCTTATTCATGGAATATAAACATGAACAAATGTCAATCATCATGCAAGGACATTCTCTTTTAAAAGTGCTAATTTATTTTACTTTGAAAGGACTTCGAAAAAAATATGTTGTTTATCTTTACAGGAAACCTTATAGCAAAACAAAAATATGACTGTGCGTCCCTGACACTGAGGAGAAGCTAGCCTCAGTTTAGCTAATCCCCATTGCTTCCACACACAAGTCTTTGTAGTGCACTGTCACAGCCTTAAATCACATTTTCACAGTTTCTTTTTATGTGCCCTTGACTAACTCTTATTCAGTGATTCGAGGGCATGCTGCTCCATTCAGCTGACCGCTTGCATACAACACACGTTTTGTTCGGCTTTTACGTCACTAATGTCTTCTACACAAGTTTCTCACAGTTAAAAACCCATTCCTGCACACACCGCATGACATAACTTGCTCAATCTATCAGCTCCCTACCTGCAGGTGACTGCCCATGTGAGTCATCTAAACCCCGACCTTTGACATTTGGCCTGCAGCTATCAATCACTTATCTGAAAAGCATTTCAGTTGTTGATGGATGCACAACAATCACCGCTTTGCCTTTATCGAACATGCATGACAGCTCTGTGTGCATACCATAAGTGAATCTTCCTCAAACACCATACGGTTGGTTACATCACTTTCACTTTTTGTTGCCATATATTAAGAAATTATCTCTTAATAAGACCCTTTTTTTTACTATTTGGAGTATCTGTATTGTTTAGGAGCAGCTGACGTAATATGGATTTCTATACTCATAAAGAGTAAAAAAACAGCTTAAAACCAAACAAATAAGCATTATTTTTGCACTGCTGCAAGGCCTTAGAGGTTCTTCTACCTGTTAATAAGTGCAACACGGTTCATATTTGGAGCTGCATGCAATTTTTTCCTTAATAACCCCAAGCCCCCAATGCCACGTTTTGCTCAAAATTCCTGTTCCTTAGTCATAACTCGAAAAAAAGGAAGGAGTTATTGCCTGGGATTTATCACACTGTCCAGTGATAGTTGTCTGTACATTCATGGGTACATTAAAAACACTTCAATTCAATGTTGCGAATTTGCTACAATGTTAACAAATATGTGGTAATAAATGGGGCTAACTCATTTGAATCTACTGCAACACTTTTCTGTTCCAAATAATTGGTTCTCAACCTGGGGGTTGAGACCCCCAAGAGGGTCGCACATCATTTCTGGTGGTCGCCAGATGAAAATGTAATTCCTTAATTTAAAATAAATAAAGAATCTATACCTGGGAGTGGCTATTATATTACATTGCCTGTAGCAGTGATAACATTTGCGTAAAACATATATCATTGTGTTTGTGAGAGACAAAGTGTGCATGCACATGAGTTTCTAACTGCCCAAAAGCATCATGGAAACTGTTGTTCTAAAACTTAAGAGCATGATTTAAAACAATAAAAAGCCCACCACTGATGTCTTCAAGAACAGAAAAGTGGAAATGGAAACCGTTGGTGCTGCTGGAGTGTATATTCATGTCTGTGAATGCTGCCAGTATTGGAAACATTTTAATATTTGCTGCTTTTATTATTCATTTTATTCAGTGGATTTTATTTTCCATCTTATGTTATGTATTATTTCCTCTTGGTTTTTGATGGTTATCAAGGTTTTTTAATCTATTAACTTGGCATTGTATCCTTTTTTTATGTTCATGTTCTTATGTTGTTTTCTATTCCTTTGTGCTGCATTAATTGTATGAAATGTGCAAAAGAAAATGTTTTATAATTATTATTTGGTACAAAAATTGAAATTAATTTAAGATTCTGCACATAAAACTTTGTTATTTGAAAGTATGAAGATGTGTATGACAATATTTTGGTGCTTTTTTATAGTTGTTAGATGCAGATGTCATCTTGATTTTCATTTAGAGAGTTCCTGTGGGAAGGATCAGTCCTAAACACATTTTTGTATAATACCAAGTCACCAACTGACCTGGAGAAGACATTTCCATCCAGCAGTGCTTTGACCTTAAACTTCCTGTGATGCAAAGACTTGCTTTGATGTCATAAAAAATGTGATCTTTAGTTTGCTATGCCGTGCCATTTTTACAGGAATGAGGACAGTTTCAGATAAAGGCATTTGTCTCAGTCTGGTAAGCACAATCAGATCCTTTCATAGGGCTTTTGTCATATTTTTCTTCGTGTAATTACTTTTCTCTTCAGCTTGTCATTCTTCCCATCTCTGGATTGTTTGTGTAAAACAATAAGACATTAAAAACAAAAAGTGGGCAGAGGAAAACTTATGCTTTCTAGGGTAGTATAGTTGCTGAGTCATATAGTTCCAATGTGCAACGACATGCCGGATAGAGTTGCAGTCTGAAAACACCCATTGGCTCAAAGTAGGTCAAGTTTACATTCACGTCATTCTTTGCTGGTGGTAGATTGAGCCCTCCTTTTTTTCCCTTTGTTTGTTCACCTAAATGTAGCACCCCTGAGAAGCTTATTGTGTCATGAGTGTGACAAAAACATCTTGACATGTGTGATATCTCGGTTAAGTTGGACAGTTTGTGCTCATTAAGGAACATCTGAGAAGAGAAACTGTACCAGTCAGGAATCTAAATCTGTGTCACTGGCTCAAATGAAGTGGCTTTATTCATAAGAATTTGGATACACATATTAATTTGATAACATTTTTTGTATCCAAAGGAATTGTAAATGATACAAGTATTTAAAAAATGTGCAATTACGCCTATTAAAATATAATAAATAACTGATTGTGTTGTTTATGTGCTTTTTTTCCAGTTTTGCTCCTGTCATTTCCAGTTAATGTCAAGACCCGTTTTGAGCCATGAAAATTCTTAAAAGCTGAATAAATAACCTTTTAATATATGTACATGTAAATTGGAATAACACACATTTTTCGTTGTTTGTTGGATGAGAAATTATTTGTGTTGCTAGAGAAAATCCCCCATATATAGTTAGGAAAACAGATGTTGGTGGGGTTAAAAGAAAGAAGAAATCCAGACGACGTAAAACTGAAGAGTGACAGTCTGGTAATGGGCCTGTCACTCATGATTATAAATGCTTGGCATACCTGCCTTAAAGTGCTGCAATTGCAAACAATTACATGAGAGCAATTGAAACTTGATTATATGATTGATGTGAAGGGAATGCGACCATAAACTGTCAGTTTGATAATCGAAATATGCCATAAATCCACAAAATTAGGGAAACTATGGCCCTGATTTGATTTATAATATTTACACAAGTATTCTGAAGTAAACAACTAATGTCATGTGTTACATTTATGGGGAAGAACTGTTGAGTTTAGTGAACCCTCAGCAGTAGCCTGCACCATGGCCGTAGTACCTGGCCCCAGGACAAAAAAGAAATGTGGAACCCTTGTGACTATCATCTACTCCCCCATCCAAAGGTTTGGTGTGTTGATTTAAATTTGTAGTCATTTTATTTGTATCTATTTTTTAACAGCATTATGTTTTTATTTTAGGCAATGAAAGAACATTTTCCAAAAAGGTGCATCTGTATTATAATGTGATAAATGATAAATGCAACAGAGTATTAAAACAAGGAGCATTAAGTAACAACATTATAATTGCATTAAGTGGTGCATTATACTGCAAGTAGAACAAAGGAGAACATTATGATTAATACAATAAAAATTCATTCTAGTATCCATTTTTTCACTTTTTATTTTATTTTGATTGCTCACAAACCATTTAGTGGAGGGGTCAAGAAGTAACAGACAATGCGTCAAAAATAATAATGAAATATATGGGGAAAAAACTAAATAGGAAAATAAACTTACTATTTTTAACGATAAAGAAATGTAAAAAGACAACAAAAATAGAAATATTATTTAAAAAAAATTGCAACAAAGTCGAAGAAAGATATATATTTTTTTAATTTATTTGGTTTGCCTCAGACATTAAATATCCCACTGTCTGTGAAGGGAGGGTTCTTTGACGTCAGCAGCGTCGCTCCGCTCCGCACATGGATGAAGTGTAGAGGCTCCGTCAGAGCCCGCCCTCCTCCTCCAGCTATTTGCCATCCAGCTCCGTCGACAGGCAGCCAGCCGCTCACCGTCCTGCTGCTGCGCGGAGTCCCGTGTTTTCGCTCTGAGCCCCGGCGTCGTTTTCACCGCGTCTGCGAGGATCTCCGAGGGACCGGCTTCCTAGTTCGGTCGTGTCTCTTATTTAGGGGGGGACATTTGGCTTTGACTTTGCGAGATTTTGTTCTCCAATTGCCCTTCAAGACATATGGAGAAAATGGCCAGACCTCTTCCTATAAACGCAACTTTCCTGCCGCCGACTCACGGCGTGCTGAAATCCCTGCTGGAAAACCCGCTAAAGCTGCCTTTCCATCACGATGAAGGTATGTTTTTGTTTTTAAAGTAGTTAACTTGCACGTACACTAACTCGCCTTTCGTCTCCCCTTCTGTCATGTTTATCCGCTGGTTGTTTTTATTCTGTAGACAGTAGACACCCATGGGTTTTGACGGTTTTGACAGATACAGCGCAGTTAAGACACAGATCAACTTAAATCATGCAGAGTGATATCTCATAATATTAACACGATCTTTGTCGAAAAATAAAGTTATCGTATTGGTTTTGCAGGCAGCAGAGATACGTACAATAGAATGATGATTGTTTTGGCTGTTTTTTTGTTGACTGACAGATTGACACGAACTTCAGCTCAAGTTAACAAGCTAGTTTGGCTTTTGCTTACGATCTAAATTAAATTATTATGAACTAATTTGATCGTGTTGTGACTGACAGCGCTGTTTTGAGCTCGCAGGTGCGTTCATAACCTTTAAACCTTCAATGGGATTTATATTAGTGATATCGCAGTGTGTCCACAGAGGGCGTCTTTTCTTTTATGCAGCTTTTGTGTATGTTTTCATAACAAACTGATTGTATTGTTAAATGTGTTTTCTGTAACTAGCCTACATTGTCATTTTTAATCTTTAAGGGAACACATTTCCCCAATTAATCATGCACATGGATTTGGTTTATTTGGATAGATTTCAATTCAATAGACCAGTGTCAGAAATGTTGGGTGGCATAGAGCAAAAAAAATCATAATGCTTGAGATTGAGAAAAATGTATATATTTACTTACCAGTTAAGGCTACTATCCATATACTTTATCAAGCAAACATTTTATTTTAATTTAATTTTAATTTCAATCTCTTAAACACACAGTGATGTTGTTCACACTACACAGCTGTTATAACAAAACATAACTAATCCTGCAGTGTACTAACCAATGATGCAGTCTTTTTAGTCGAGTCTATAATTGTTTTCATCTATGCTACACACATCAACACAGCATGGCTACATTTGGCAATGCAATTAAACATGCAACAATCTTTAACTGCAGTTTTTTTATATCTATAAACCAATGATATTATACATATACAAAGGCTATTAAGAACAACTTAAAAGCCTTAATAATAATGAAGTTGATTTCCCCGAAGCATACTCTCTATTTATACCCATGCACTGACCCGTGATCCTCCTGTGCTGTGACAATGAAATGACTTTGTGCAAATATTCACAGGATTTGGGAAGGACCAGGAGAAAGAGAAGAAGCTGGACGATGAGAGCAGCACAGCCAACCACCCGCAGTCGGCCTTCCTCGGCCCGACCCTGTGGGACAAGACGCTGCCGTACGATGGGGACAACTTCCAGCTGGAGTACATGGACCTGGAGGAGTTCCTGTCGGAGAACGGCATCCCCGCCAACACAGCCCAGGGCGAGCAGGCCCTGCAGGCAGCACGGAACGCTCGGGCATCTCCGCCTGCACCCCCCGCCACACTTTCACCCAGCGTGGTGGACCTCAGCAGCCGTGCCACCACCTCGGTTCACACCACCATGGCACCTCAGACCTGCCTCCACAGCCCCGGCTCAGCAGGTAGGAACCACGGCACCCGAAACTGAGGCCTGTCACAATAACTACTTTGGTTCCCGGTACGGAAGACGATTAAGGCCACACTTTTTTTGTTTTGTTCTGAGATTAGAGTATGAGTTCTGAGATTTAAGTCAGAATTCTGAGAACTAGAAAAAACAAACACTGATCGGCAGATGCACAAAAATTGCACGTGTCCATATAATCCTCTTCCGTATCCCAGAAATAATTACAATGAATCATATTATTGTCATTTGAAGACTATTTAAGGACAATAATAGTATAATATTGCAAATACATTTACAAAAATCCATGAATTTTGAATTCTAAAACAGATTTACAAAAAATGAATGTATCAAGATATCCCAAATAAAAATATGAAATGAAAACAAACAGCCATCACTTTGAATAAAACGGCTTTAATAAAAAATTATTAAGTCTAATATTAGTATGGAAACCCTGCTGTTAAATGTTGATAATGATAACATGTTGGTGGCATTCTTATATAAGCAAACAAACAGGCATGTAAACACAACAGGGATCATCAAGGTCAGCAGAACGTTATCCAGGTGGTTTCCACATATTGTACCATAAGTTAAAGGTGGGATATGTAATTTATTTCAGAAACACTTTTTGCTATATTCCATGGAATGCTCTTAACATCCCGATAGCAATGAATATATTAAATGCTTTGACAATAAATACATACAAATATTTCATCTGTGGAAGCCGTGGTACTGTAAAAAGTACGACCAATCATTTTAGCCGGCCCGGCTAAAATAACTGGATGGCCTGCCTGCCTGTCAGCCTTCCATCTGTGCACAAACTTATCTCGTGCCCTCATTGGTCATGTGCGCGTTCGTGTGTGTTGGAGGAGGGGCTCTGTAAGGAAGTGGCAGATCTTTTCCGGCTGTGTATTTTCAAATTCTAGCGCACTCGAGCTGGTTTCTCCAAGATTACCTACCCCACCTTTAATATCGTATAAATGATCGAGGTCAAGCTCACAAAATTGCACCTTAGTTAATAGGGTTACTTATTGAAGTCCATATAATGTACTATAAATCAATTCGTAATCATTGTGACAGGCCTACTTTAACTTTCACACACTTGTTCACACCTCCACTGCCTCAGGGGATGCTGTAAAAGGCTTGTGATGCTGTTTGCTCACCTGCCACACACACCTGCCACCCACACTTATCCTCTACCATTAGACAAACTGCCTGCCCTGAGAAATAAAGAGAACATTTTGTATTTAAAATGTTGCTCCCCACATAATCTCTCTTCAAAACAAGCAATCGGTTGTGTTTTTTTTCTTCTTCTTCTTGGCAAACCAGCCAAAGGTGCATACTTCACCAACTGGACTGGAGTTTGGAACCAAACCGGAGTGAGCGCTTTCTGAGCTCAGAGTTTGCACAGTCACACATGTGGGGATATAGGCGAACTCAGGGGATGATGAGTCATAAGGACCTCAGCACCCCCTCAATAACACACGGATGCAAAAAGTATAATTTGGCCTTAAGCCTCTCAAGTCTAAGATGAGTGATAAATGAAGGCGACCTGTACGGTACACTCTGTCTGTGTGCATTCTGGATGTGTGTGTTCTGTTTTGGTCTGCATCTTCACATTTACCTCCCACATGAACATGTCTGGGGTCTCCTGCGGAGCGCTGGGCCATGTGACAGACACATGCAGGCTTCTCACAGAAGCTTGTCACGGCACAAACCTTCCTTCCTCTCGCTCTCCCCTCTCCCCTTGCCTTTAACACTCTCCACTTCCCGTCCGGTCCTCCTCTCCCTCCCTCTCTCGGGCTCAGCTCCGACTCTGGCCCGGACTCGGAGCCAAAGCACAGGCACAGGCTGTTCCCTGCAGAGATCACATGGAGTCTGCTGTGCTTTGGTCACGTGTGCCCGAATACTGTTCCAGCTCGCCAAGCCTCGTCTCGTTTAACCAGCCCCCCCCACAACAAACCTCCATCCCTCTGTGCTTGCAAGCAGCGCAGCAGGCGGCTGATAACATTGTTATCACAACCAACGCACAAGCGAGTGGGCGTTTCGCTGTTTTTCTCAGTCTGAGCAGCCTGCAGACTTTAAGGGTCTGTGCCGGGGCCAGGTTCAGGACATGGACCCCTGCGCGCTGTTGGCAGGGGCTAAAGGGGAATTCGGATGAAGGGGGGTCAGAGGGTGTGTTGTGGTGCATTCCTGCGTGTTAGTCAAGGAAAGTTGGCTCATCTAAACATATCCATCAGCACATTTTAGGAACTAGATGTAGAGTACTTGTATTTATCATCGTGGAGGAATAATGTGTCAGAGTACAATCACTCAATACTGAGTACACATGTTTTTCTTTCTCAGTGTCAGAGCCAGTTTCCTCTGGCCTAGTTTCTTTCAAAGTAATGTCTTGTCATGCGGTGAAGGGACCTACATGTCCTGCCTAAGTGACATGGAGGAATTATGATAATGACGATCAAGTGCATGTCTTTATTTATGTTGTTAAATCTTTTTTTTTAAAAAGGTCCAAAACCAAAAATGAGTCAGTCTGTCTCTCAATACATATAATACTATCTGTTGAAGACATAAAAAGGACTCAAAAACATTTTTTAAAGACTTCCTAATTCCTAAAACACTGTATTTTTATCAAAGGTTACTCAAACTGGAGGAAACGGCATCTGTTTTGGACTATTTTCAGCTGTGGATTGAAACACAATCTGTCTTACATCTAGTGTGTATTTAAAGCTGCAGGACAGTGTATTTGGGATTGAGTCAAAGTAATACACACTGTCAGGAATGCAGGAGCTGTTTTTAATAGCTTTTTGGATCACAATCAAGCTCTATGGAAGAATAAGTATCCGTGGACACACACAATAGGTGTTAGTAGAAAGAAAACAATCTTATTTCTGGTCTTTATTTTTTTCAGGATAAAAATATTGTAGAACATCACTGTGTGGTCACGTAAACCAAAGCCAATTAGGGGCTAAAGGGCAAAGCACTCTCTCAGTGTGTGGCTGCTGTAGGTCCCACCCAGGTCAGAGTGCTGCAATCCAACCTGCAACACAGCTTATCACTGGCTGTAGTACTATCACCACACAGCACCGTGATAACACTCTGATACCATCATGTAGCGTGACAGCAACCTGCAGCCGGCGTTTTGTGTAAACACATAAATACTGCCACGTCAAAATGAAACCAGTTCAGCAAGGTATGCATGAGTTCAGCTTTCACACGGCTCACAGCCACCTTTCCTGGCCTAATTTTAGATTTCCTGTGCAAGGAGGGGGACTATTTTATTGTTTAATCATCGACTTCCTCTCCACTGGAATGTGTGGAAGGGCACTCCAGGTTAACGAGCGGGCATGTACTTTTAGCCCGTGTTTTAACTCCGCTAATAAGGCGATCCAAATGAGCGGTAAAGGTGATTAAGGCGACACTGCTGGCTATTTGCAGGCCGGACAGATTGTCTCACAGCGGCTGGTTTTAGTGGGTAAGGAGCTTGCCGCCTGGGAGCTGTGGGTCTTACCTTTAAGGATGGGTTACCTCCACCAAGTCAGGTGATTGATGGCTGGAGGTCAGATCTTCTGAAGGCAGAAGGATCAATAGGTTTGAACTCTCTGAACCCTGAGCAGTTTCTTTAGTTGTTTTGGAAACAGCACGACCATAGCTAGAAGTAAAGAGGATGCAAGAATGTCTTCTTGAACATTTCTTATAATCTTAAAATACATTAAATGCAAAGGGAAAAAACCCAGGTTTAATTTGAACAAGTAGGAAACATTTAGTTTTTCCCATAATGGCCACAAGTGTTGCCATTATGGGAAAAACATGGATAAGTTGATTTACAGAAAATAAATGTTTGAATGACAACAGTACATTTGGGATCTGGGAAACTGGATGCACATTTTTACATTTTTTCAGAGACATTTCATGAATTTATAAAGAATCATTTTCAACAATTTCCAGAAACACATGTTCACAAAAAGATAGTTTGATAAACGCACGACCTCTTTTAAAATCAATATACAGGGTGCGTACAGGTGCTGGAAATCCTTGAAAATGCTTGAAATTGTACGAGGTGTTTTCAAGGTTTGAAAAGTGCTTGAATTTTGGGAATGATGCTTGAATTTGGGATAAAGTGCTTGAAATTGTAAATGCTTTACTTCGCTTTTTAGATTAAAAGAAAATAAAGAAGTCGGAGCGCGCTTAATTGCTTCGCTTTTACATAAAACAGCTCCGCTCCGGCCTTCCCGCGCTATGCGCGTGACCGGCAAGTGTTTTTGTTACGTGTGTGACCTGGGCATTCTGATGAGAGTGATAGATGACAGTATGCCAGGAGGTTGCCGTTTCAACGAGCGTTGGCTAGCAGAAGACAAATACAAGCCATGGCTAAGACGAGGGTCAAGCGAAGCCCAAGAGTAGCCTCCTGCAAAGTGTGCAACAATAACGATGCGAGAGTCTGCGCTGACGAGCCACACACCACACGAAAGGTACGCCATCGTAGAGCATTTTAGATTAGGCTATCGTTGCATGTAAAATACATGACAGTTTTCTCTGTGCGCGGCAAAACAAGCTCGCCAAAATGGCTTCACTAGTCTGGCAGTATTTTAAGTGTCCGAAAATGACAATAAAATAGCGGTATGCAACGTCTGTGTGAAGCAGAAATCCTGCAGCTCCACCCGCTGTGACGGACCGGTGAGCGGAGCAGAACACACATTAAGAGTTAGACCTAACACACTTAGCTATTTTATCTACCTCTGGAACAAGCTAAACTAGTTATAAATATATTTATTCTTCACTGTCGGGTCGCTCATTACTGGATCAGTGAGCTGCAGGAGATACTGACGGGCTGTCAGGAGAGAGAGAGAGAGGGGGGGAGAGAGGAAAAGAGAGCGATATCGGTATCGGCCGATACTGATTCCGGCGATCGGCTCCAAAATTGGCGATCGGAGCATCCCTAATAATTGTATATGATATGTTTTATAATGATTGATCATGAAAGTGTTATCAAAGCTGGTAAAGTTACAGCTAGTTTGAATGACTTTGTATACTACAGAGTAGCTTGTGAATTTACTCCAGGTGGAACTAAAGTCTGATTTAACACTTGATTATATTTCACATCATTCATCCACATCTGTAAAGTAACTAAAGGTATTAAATACATGTAGTGGAGTAAAAGTACACCATTTACCTCTGACTTGTGTTTACTGCCAACCTAAAAGTACCTCAAAAATAGTAATCAATAATATATTGAAAAGTTATTTGGCTGATTGTTTTATATTGGCTCAACCAGGTTATATGGGATGCCCAGTCTACGTACAGATGGGTCACACATTTTGAAATATTAAACTTAGTTTTCTTTTCTAACATTTTAAATGTTTCATCCTCATGTAGATTGCTATTATGAAACACACATTTGGTTGTTTATAGCATAAAGAACATCTGATTTAATGTGAGGTAGGGAAATAATCATTTGAGTATAAGTATGTGTATATAAATATGTAATTTACAACAGCTGTAAGATGCTTGAAAAGCTTGAAAATGCACCTTGAAAATGCTTGAAAAGTGCTTGAATTTGACTTTGGAAAAGGTGTAAGAACCCTGAATATATATTTTGGACATTTCAGATGTCATCTTAAACCTCCCAACCTTTAACTGTCATGGTTTAACATAACTTTAAATTATTGATCTATCTTATAATTCTTATTGTTTTAATTGGGATGGCGTTGTTAATGGTTACATGATATCATAATAATAAAGGTTAAATGAATGCATCAAATAGAAAATCTCCATCTTTACCCAGCATACCTTGTGTTAAATGAGCTGCAACATAAACACCTCCTCAAATATCTGATTGTTATGTTTTCATCGGGGAATCTTTCCACATTTTCTCAGCATTACAGCTCAGTTTAACAAGCTGATAATTATCAGTTTCAACAGTCCTGCATAGTCTTTCACACGTTTGTTGTGGCATGCATGTGTCTGTGACGGAGCCAATCACTTCCTCTGATGTACAGCAAACACTTGCTGTTTGATTCTCATATATTCTCATCTGTGGGCCCCTCCTCAAATGTCCAAAGCATTCTGACCACGTACACACACTCTGACTGAAGGTCAGCTGCATTGACTGGCTGTCATGGCGAGCTCACACAGAAATGTAGGTCATGATGTACTAACTGCAGCAGCATAACAGCAGCTAATGAAAATGTCGCTGCTGCTGCAGTCATATCCCCGATGGTTGTCATGCTCATCAAGCTTCTACTATCGAGCGGGGGGAACGCAGGTCTGGTCCGTGCGACGAAAACAAATGAGCCCTAATGTAATGGATCACAGAGAAATTGATCTGGATCTGCGGCTCATCCAGTTCAGCTCATTGGCCCAGCCCAAAAGGAACAATTAGAGAAGCTTGGCACAGAAGGAAGACGGACGTGGAGGCATGCAGATCTCCTTCAGAAGATTACAGCTGCTCTGAGACCAGCTGAGCTGCTGATAGCTGCACCGTTTAAGATAAAACTATAAGACACATTATTTCTCCACCTGTGAATTTCAAAGCTGGTGTTAGAGCCCCACCTGCTGCCCAGATGGGGAATATACTCCTCTGGACAGGTTTTCTGTTGGGTTTTTTCTAGAAATGTACCAACAGTTGTCGAATGTTGAATGTTTACAAAACAAGCTTGTGCTAAGAAATGCATTTAAAGTTTCTCGTCTTCTATAAACATTTGTAATATTGTTATCATTTAAAAAAAAAAAGAAACAGTATTTTCTGAATAATTTGTTTTACAAAACTGGAAAAAAAGTATGAGCTTTTCCAAATGGCCACATGTGTTACCATTATTAGGAAAACAATTGGGTAGGTTGACACACTGCAAATGAATATTAATAACTTATTTAACGTCTTTTGGCTTTTGAAAACATGCACAATTTCCCCAAATGTTTCAGATCAAGAAAATAAAAATTGGCAATTTGTAGATGTTGATATGAAAAGAGTCATGGTTTGGTAAATACAGAACCTCCTCCTCACATTTTCTTTAGGACATTTCAATTTGAAAAAGCAAAACATATTTTTCTTCAATTCCTCGTTAACTTCAAATGTCAGAAAAGGCTGTTTTCGAGCCTCTCAAATATGAAATACCATGCCTTTATTTGTTTTATATGATATTAAAGTGGGTTTTGGACAGAAAAATTACACTTTAAAACATTACTTTGCACTTTTAGAGTAGTTCCTCACATTTGATAGACTAAAATCAAGCAATTAGTCTTCAGTTGCAGCCTAAAATCATAGTTAAAAAACAAGGAAAGGTAGCAGTGAGCCCCCCCTGTGAGCCTCCCTGTGAGCCCCCCTGTGAGCCCCCCTGTGAGCCCCCCTGCTCCGTATGAGTTCTCCTTACATAGCTGCTCCTCCCGCCAGCTTTAAGGGCTTCACTAAGAAGAGCTGCTGGTGAGGACGTTGCATAACCAATTACCGCAAAATGAAGCCCTTGAAATGTTGCAATTACAGTCAGAATGAGAGGTGCTTGGAGTTTTCCTCCTGCTGGCTTCTCCAATTTCTAAATAATGAGCTGTTTTCACACCCACAAAATGGGATGAATCTGTGCACTATGCTAATGTCTGGTATTTTTCTCTCAGCCCGGGACACCTCCAGCCCCATCGACCCAGACTCCATCCAGGTGCCCATCTCCTACGAGCCGGACCCCCAGGACCTGGCTCTGTCCAGCGTGCCCGGACAGGAGATGTTCGACCCCAGGAAACGCAAATTCTCCGCTGAGGAGCTGAAGCCGCAGCCCATGATCAAAAAAGCCCGTAAGGTGTTCATCCCAGAAGACCTGAAGGTGAGCTGCTGCTCTGTCGGGGGGGGGAGGGGGTGACGTGAGGTCAGATGTTTGGCCTGCTGTTATGTAAGCAGCTCAGAATAACCCTTAGGGGTGGAAGACAAGCTGCAAACTAAATGATACAAGGCTGAGCAACATGATGGTTTGAAAAAGGCTTTCTATGAAAAACTTGATTGTCGTAAGCTGCTGTCATATACCTCCAATATTCTTTCATTTCTTAAATTGCTTATTTATTGTAAACTATCAGAATATTATCTTGGAATTTAAGTTTCTTGATCTCCATTTTATGATGAAATAAATACAAATATTAGTGGCATTTATTTTTGAATATTTGCATTAGCACAAGTAAGAATTTGCACTAAAAATATCAAATTAAAAGCATATATTTATATGAACATAAGAAGTTAAAGTAAAATACAAACAAAATCAAATCAAAACCTAATAAATGTGCAGTTTATTTAGAACATTTAACAGTAATCAGTATGAATACAAATATGGTGCTTGATATTCAATATGTAAGGTACTACTGCCAAGTTTTTGTGTGTTTTTATTGAAAGAATACTTTATTTGATACTTCATATTAAATCCAGCCAAATATGCCAACGTTTAGACTAAAAATGGAAATATCTCTGATTTAAATCAATAAGTATGTGATCACAACATAATCGATAATCTAACCTTAAAGCAGGAGTTCTGTTTTTAATGTTCTTTATATGACAGAAAGAGATTTAATTTGCTGAGTGATTGAAAAGGTACTGCAGCTTTGGTAAGAAAACATTGTTATTTAATACATGTTGCACTATATTTAGCAGCCATTGTTGCTTTCTTCAGGTTCAGATGACTCACGCAGCCTTAGACAAAAGGAAAAAGCTTCACTCTGACGTACGGCAGCCCAGAAACAACATCATTACCTTTGTATTTTATGAACTAAAGACATTAAGCTCCAAGGTTTTCAGCAGTCTGTGGATTAAAGTTTTAACTGTGAGACAGTAAAGGTATTTGCTGGTGGGAATAACTCAAACTGACAGCGTTGGGTCAGCAGAGCTTCCTGAGTTGACCTTGTGACCCTGCCAGGAGCAACAGGCCTTCATCATGGGACTAATCACTCCTCAAGACCAAGCACCAGACTCTGGGGCTGAGGGGAACAGAGAAAGGATATGACAGTATACAGTATATACTATGCAAGGGTAGATGTTAAAAATAAAGATTCTGAAAAAACGTTTTTACCATGGTCGCTATTATCTGATTATCATGTGATCAGAAAGACCTCTTACTGTATGACTACCAGCCTTTTTCCCAGTTTCTCTCAGATTTTTGAAATGGATAATGAGAAAACCTGAAGGAAAATTCAATTTTTCTTTCAATTGCCCTAAATAAATGTTCTCAGGAACTTTAAAGCTTCAGTTTTGAATTTTCGTGCTGCAGCACCTCTTTTCACCCTCTGTCTGAAACCAGAGCCCAGTCTGCTCTGATTGGTTAGCTGGCCAGCTCTGTTGTGATTGGTCAACCGCTTAGAAATGTCCCTCCCCTTAGCCTTTACGCACAATGTGTTGGAGCACTATTTAAAAGAAGTGCAAGTGTTACATAGTGATGTCACTGCAAAAGAATATTGGGGAAAAGTGGATCAACAAAAGCAAAAGAGAAATTGAACAAAAGGCCCCAGGAAAAGTGGAGCGCTAAGAAACCTGCTGATGTAGTGACCATAGTGCAGCGAGGAAAGAGAAATCCAGTAAGTCTCTTACATGTCCCCGTAGAGGTGAGAGGAATGCAGTGTAAAGCTGTTTTTGACACTGCATGTACATATTCCCTCATGCGGCACAGCCAATGGCTGGATGTAGTCCAGAAAGGAGAGCAACTGAAGCCCAGTGAGAACCAAAGCTTTGCTCTAGCTGACGGGAAGACATGCCATGGAGCCTTAGGAAAGGTACAGCTACTCTACAGCTGGCATGAAATGATGTGGTCGCTAGAAACATACATCATCGATGATAACAACCTGGCATTCCCCATCATTCTAGGCTTGGATTTCCTTACCAAGACCTCAACCATTATCAACCTGGGAGACAGAACATATGGAGTAAAGGGGCCAAGGGATTACACGTTCTATTCATTCCTTTCTCAACCTACTGAGATCCCTGGCGCTCACCCCAGTGTTAGTCTCATAATGGCACTTCCGCTATCCAAGTCATTTCCTGTTCAAGAAGAGACTGCCCCAGATTTTTCAGCTCATCCACCAGAGGTTAGAGACATATTGAAGGCTTGGCCAAAGGTGTGTTCAGGCAGTTTAGGAAAAACTAAGGTAGAAGAGCACAAGATATTTACTACTAACGAGGTTCCAGTGCGCTGCAAAGCATACAGGGTATCACCCCACAAGCGTCAGATCATAATAGACCAGGTAGAGCAGATGCTTAGGGATGGCATTATTGAACCGTCACAGTCAGCCTGGGCGTCCCCAGTGGTCTTGGTTCCAAAACCAGACATGTCCCCAAGATTTTGTGTGGACTTTCGACCTCTAAATGCTAAGACTCTGCAAGATGCCTATCCTATGCCACTTATTCATGAGTTGTTGGAGTCATTGCATGGAGCCTCATTCTTCAGTACCCTTGACCTAAAATCAGGCTACTGGCAAGTGGCAATGTCAGAGGAGAGCAAAGCCAAGACAGCAGTAATCACACCGATAGGCCTCTACCAGTTCAAGTGCATGCCATTTGGGCTGAAGAACGCCGGTGCATCTTTCCAGCGATTGATGGAGAAGGTCCTGGGGGAGCTGAGGGGAAAAATCTGCTTTGTGTATATCGATGATGTAATCATCTTTTCACCCTCACAAGAACAGCACCTCAACGATTTAAACGCTGTGATGAAGAGACTTCATGAGGCCAATTTAACACTCAATCTGAAGAAATGCCATTTCTTCCAGCAAGAGTTAAAGTTCCTTGGCCATATAGTGTCTGAGAAAGGGGTCCAGGTGGATCCAGAGAAAACACTGGCAGTAAAAGAATATCTTACTCCTACCAATGTCAAGTCACTGCAACGATTTCTGGGACTCGTGGGATGGTACCACAAATTCATTTCCCACTTTGCAGATATGGCGGCCCCCTTGCATCGCCTGACAAGGAAAGAGGTGGAGTGGATATGGAGCGAAGAATGCCAGCAAAGCTTTGAACACTTGAAACAGGCTATGGTCAGTGCTCCCATCCTAACACAACCTGACCACTCAATTCCTTTTGAGGTGCACACAGACGCTAGTGATGCCGGTTTGGGTGCAGTCTTAGTCCAAGCTACCGATGAAGGGGAACAGGTGATAGCTTATGCTTCACGGGGATTGAGAGGGGCCGAGTGTAACTACTCCACATCAGAAAAAGAATGTCTAGCTGTTGTATGGGCTGTTGAAAAGTGGCGACATTTTCTTGAGGGAAAAGAATTCACGGTATACACCGACCACGCTGCTTTGACTTGGGCTTTCAACTGTCCGAAGACCTCTTCCCGGCTGACTAGGTGGATCTTACGACTCCAGCAATTTCAATTTAGGGTCCAATACAGAAAAGGCCTGCACAACATAGTGCCTGATGCCCTGTCCAGAGCGGTTGCACCTCTGTCCGCAACTGCGTATGTTGCATCAAACACCTCTCACTGTACTTCTGACTTGCCAACCACCCTATCAGACATACAAGAGGCCCAGGAAAGGGACCCTGAAATTAGTGACATGGCAAAACAGTCTGCTGCCACCTGTAAGCCAGATAGGATAGGGTACACTCTGTTACAGGGTATTCTGTATCGGCGGTCACCGGTGAGACTGGGGGGAGACAAATATCAGCTAGTGGTTCCCAAGAGTCTAGTCATGTCTTTTCTGGAATACTTCCACAACCATCCCCTGAGTGGACATCTGGGCAGGTTTAAGACTCTCCTTAAGATCCTTGAGGTTGCCTGGTGGCAGTCTGTCAGGAAGGATGTGTGGGCCCATGTAAAGTGTTGCAACATCTGCCAGGCCTACAAAGCGGATAATCAAAAACCAGCAGGGTTCATGCAGCCTACCCCTGTGGAGGAGCCCTGGGAAAAGCTGGGGATTGATCTCATGGGACCTTTTCCCCGCAGTAAAAAAGGCAATTGCTATCTCCTTGTGGTTGTGGATTATTTCACAAAGTGGATTGAGATGTTTCCCCTAAAAGACAGCAAGACTCACAAGATTGTCGCCATCTTGAAAGATGAGATCTTCACCCGTTTCGGTGTCCCACGTGAATTGGTTTCTGATCGGGGAGCGCAGTTCACTGGCCATGAAATGGCCAACCTATGTAAATCCTGGGGAGTAACACAAAAGTTCACCACCAGCTATCATCCTCAAGCCAATCTCACAGAACGGTCCAACCGGACCATCAAGACGATGATTGCTTCTTATGTGGGGACACAACATAAGAACTGGGATCAGTGGATCAGGGAATTTCGCTTTGCCGTAAATGCTGCCTATCAGGAAACAACGGGGCAAACACCTGCAGTTTTGGCACTCGGAAGATCTCTGAAAGGCCCGCTGGAGAGGTTGATCAGTACTCCACCCCCACCTCATCAACCTCCATATACACTACTGGAAAGACAGCAAAAAATGGTGGAACAAGTAAAAAAGAGAGTCGGGGTATGCCAGGCCAGACAAGCCAAGTATTATAATACCCACAGGAGAGGTGCGCAACTCCTGCTGGGAGACCTGGTCTGGGTCCGCACTCACCCACTCTCTAAAGCATCAGAGAGCTTCTCATCAAAGCTTGCGCCTAAATGGTCGGGTCCAGCTACAGTGGTGAGAAAATTAGGCCCTATCAATTACCAGATCAAGTGGAACGGCCAAAACAAAAAAATTGACACTATCAATGTGGTCAACCTAAAGCCCTACTTCGGGATGCAGCCCCTCATACCTCCGGTGGGGGGGGGGGGATCTGTGACAGTTGCAGATTGATCAAAGTGTTTCTTATAAACTGTAGTGGCAGGGAAAAAGGTTAAGGCATGTGGTTTATGTTGAAATGAAAAGAAAACTGATACATGTGTATTATCCTCGCAACTACAGTTGTTAAATGTCCACTTTTATGTATGGTTTGGGGGTGTGGGTCATTAAGCCTCATTTACATATTCACCTGTCGCAGCACGCACGGAGCCTTTATAGTGGGTGCGTCACCGGGATGTCAGGGGTTGGTTCTCACGGGAGGAGGAAGCGTGTGTGAGGCGAATGCGGGTATGCAGCGGGATATTTAAGTTTTCCTCAGTATGTATACATATCTTAAAATGCTACGGGGAAGTAAAGGAAAGTAACTGCATTGTGGATATTGCATCGACCGACCTGGAAGCACGTCTCCTTGGAGAGGACGCGCACAGATCGAGAGAGATTCTCTCAAACAGGGTGAGATCGCGCCTTTGGGCCACGCCGATCATCCTATTTTTTCTTTCTGTGGATTATAGCCTCAATAGGCCTACAAACATTTCCAGTTTTTTTCTGCCGACGGGCGCAGGAGTAACAGCTTTTTTTTGTCAATGAACTATGGCCTGGGTTAGGCAGTAAAGACAATCTCGGTTTATCACCGAGCGGACTGTTTGTTGAGTTTTGTTTGTTTTGTTTGGCTCAAAAGCGGTGAATACACGTGAATAACGTATAAAACCTGTCTTTGTTTATTTTGTGAATGTGTGCATATACTGTAGTAAATACATTTCCGTGGGGACTATTTTGTGGAAAGAGCAGATTATCCGTTTATCAGTTCTGTTTACCTTTAATATATTATTTCATATCAAGAACCCCTTGTGCGTTTATTTAACACAGCTATTCATAATAGCTGATCGTTACAATGTTACAGACGTAAACAAAGGATTCCAATGGAGGTGTTTCAGGCAGAGGGGGAGTGTGTGGGAGATAAACTCCCTCTGGAGGGAACACAGGGAATGTAGCCTTTGCAGACCATTTACATGCACACAAACCTATAGAACACACTACAGGAAAGGGACAACCCCAAAAAGCACTAGAGCCTCTTTAATATTTGCTTTTAGAATATGTCGGTGTCAGAGTTGTCCAGCCTCAATTTGCTATTATGATAGTTTGATTCATATTATAATTAATGATATATACAGTCTGTGAATAAACCCCTCTGTTCAGTGTTGACACCTCCTCTCCGCTCTCAGGACGACAGGTACTGGATGCGGCGCAGAAAGAACAACGTGGCCGCCAAGAGGTCCCGGGACGCGCGGCGGCTGAAGGAGAACCAGATCGCCATCCGGGCCAGCTTCCTGGAGAAGGAGAACGGTGCGCTGCGCTGCGAGGTGGCTGAGGTCAGGAAGGAGCTGGGCCGCTGCAAGAACATTGTGGCGAAATACGAGGCCCGACACGGGCCCCTGTGAGGCCCCCAAAAAAAACCTAAACACCCATCCCACACCCACTCATCTCCCACGACCTGCCTTCCCTCAAGTTTAAAGGACAATGTGTCTCTTTTGGTGGCACTGCCCCCCCCCCCCCCCCCCCCTCCTCCTCCTCCCACAAACCTCCCCCATTTCCCATCACACACCTGTATGATTCTGGTATTATAACTGACTTCTATCATAAGCTTTGATCCTTCTTTTAGTTTCCGTACACATTGTTCCACTTAATATATAGAAACATATATTTACACACACATACTTCCTGTTTTATGTACTGAGCTATGAGCCAACCCACCAGCTGAGTCCCCCTGCTACCTTTTTGAGAGTCGATGCCATGCTGTTTGTCGTTCACTTTCATACCAATTTTATACGTGAGGTAGAGACTGAAAACTGTTCTCTCTCCCTTCTGCTTCTTCTTCTGTGGTATAACATGTGGCGTGTCCGAGAGCCTGCTCAGACCCCACAAAATCTTGAGTTTTTTATTATATTTTCTTCCCATCATCTTATACTGTTTTCATGCTGATCATGTCGTTGTTCAGTTGTCCCTCGCAGCTTCTCTAACAGCTCGATATTATTAACGTTCAGAAAGCACTTCCCAAAAAGATTCCCTGTGCATTCGTGGCGTAGATTTTCTTTTCTTCTTTATCCTGACACTGAGCAATAATTCCTCTCCAGAAGTAAACTGACATGACTACCTAACATGCTCCTCACCCTCCCCCCCTGTACACTAATACGTGTCTCACAATCTGATCCGGTTATCTCAAAATAAATTCCTCCACTTCATATTTATCAGCATTATTTTTTCTCAGATGGAAGATTGTTTTCGGTTATATATATTTGCATTCTGTTTATATAATTGTTAGTATTAATACTACTATTGACATTGTCGTTTAGCTCCTCCTTGTTTTCAGATTACAGCATGATTTTTCTTTCACAGAACGATAAGCTTTTTATTTGTTTTGGCAAAGTTGTAAAAGAAAAATCCCGCTTCTGCCTAACTTAGCATGATTTAATATGAGTTTTATTTTATTTTTTAGAAATCAATACAGATGTCTCTCATTGTAGCTCTATGTTTGCCCTCTTTAAGGATGGCTGTATGAATGTAAAAGATGTTGACAAAAAAAAGTTGGATGGTGTTGTCCAATACCGTGGTTAACCCGATCGATTTGTTTACTGCAGACCAAAAGATTCACAACAGAGACGATATATTGGTTACAAGAGATAATATGTTTATATGAACCTATTCTATAAGTTGTTCTTTTTGTACAGTATTTTTCCTATACATTACTGAACTATGTATTTTAAAGGCACAACAGATCCAGAATATTGTTATAGAATACAAATATATAGCTAAAAAAACATATAGTGGTATTTTGATATTCTATATTAGCTTAATATGTGATAGTTTTACAGAGATTTGTGGATATTCAGCAGCACCCAAACCTCCTGGGCATTATTCTTATCATCATCACTACAAATATTATTATGACAACACTCCTTTTAGGCTCTTAGGTCATAACTAGGGATGCTCCGATCGATCGGCCGCCGAGCGATATCGGCCGATACTCACTCTCTGCCGATCGATCGGTGCTCTCTAAAAATGCCGATCGCAAGAGCCGATGTAAAATGATGACGTAAAATACATGACACTTTTCTCTGTGCGCGGCAAAACAAGCTCGCCAAAATGGCTTCACCGGTCTGGCAGTATTTTAAGGTGTCCGAAAATTACATTAAAATAGCGGTATGCAACGTGTGTGAAGCAGAAATCCTGCAGCTCCACCCGCTGTGACGGACCGGTGAGCGGAGCAGAACACACACTAAGAGTTAGACCTAACACACTTAGCTATTTTATCTACCTCTGGAACTAGCTAAACTAGTTATAAATATGTTTATTCTTCACTGTCGGGTCACTCATTACTGGATCAGTGAGCTGCATGAGATACTGACGGGCTGTCAGGAGAGGGAGAGAGGAAAAGAGAGCGCTTCCGTTCATTTCTCCCGTGTTATTATCCAAAGTTAATGTAAACTTGAATAATGTACTATATTTGAATGTAATAATTATGTTGGATGTTGTTTGTGGAAGCACCAGTGAATGAGCCCCATTAACTGAGTTGTAAACATCACTTTAAATGGAAGATCCCCATAGGCCCCGCCCACTCGATCGGATCGGCGATCGGTATCGGCCGATACTGATTCCGGCGATCGGCCCCAAAATTGGCGATCGGAGCATCCCTAGTCATAACAAATCCCATTAAACTCTGAGGAAGCAGATGCAGTCCAGAAGAGAGAATGTACAGCAAGGCACTTTTAAAAAATCGACACAAATCAGACGCGTTTGTTCATTATGTTTGGTGTTGTGACATGCCCCCGACTCTTAAGGACTTTTCGTCTTTACAATGCTGAATATTCTTAAGGCTTTTCTTGTTTAGTTTTTTTTAACCGCGCAGCTTGTGAGTCATTTCTTTGTGATTTCATTTGACGGGTTGAAGTTACAATGAAGGAAGGGAAGCTGGTTTATATCTCTGCTTTGTGTGGGATTTGGCCGATGCAGTTGTAGCGTGTCCCTGAACCTGAGTGATGGATACTGGGAAGCTTTCCTTATTTTTCTTAAATGAAGGCTTACAGTAGAGTTTCCCTCAAGGTCTGTTGTGTTGTAGTGTAGAGCTGCATGCTGCTTTTCGCCAATCAGTCCAAGACTGGGATGGATTTGTGTTTTTCACGGCTGATATTGACATTTCTGATAGAAAGTATGGAAGTCCATTGCTACCAATATTACAGTAGGACAAAATCATCCAAATTATGATATTATTTTATTTTTCGCTGAAAGATAAAATAATTATTACCAAAATGTATTTGTTTGCATTGAATATGAATTCAGTTTGCGGCAGATTAGTTTAGTTTAGCACACACTTTTAAAACCGAGGGGAACAGCTCCGCGTGTTTTCTAAAAATAAAGATTTGTTTTGTTTTTTATAAAACACAAAATAGCTTAAGACAGGACATTTCAAATGAAAAAAACATTTGTTATTTAATCTTCAATTTAAGTTTTTCTGCCAATTTAAAACAATGTTTTTCATGTTGATTTATAGATAAATAATAATAAATTTTTTTATTGATTTGGTTTGTTATTGAATTTGTAGCAGCTATTCAGTTTCAAACATAAGATTATTTGTTTACATATATGTTTATACACATTAAGCACACAAATGGCACATTTATTTATTTAGTTTTTAGTTGTTGCAGCTCTGGGCTTCCGTATTTTTGTTGAGATATCTTTACATTTTAAAGCATCAATAATTTATCTACTTCAGGGTGAAAACTGGATTTTAAAACAAAATCTTTGAAAAACAAGAGTCAATATTGGCCCAATGAAAACAGATTGAATCTCAGTCCAGACTCGATTTAACTTTATTGATCCAATCCAAAGGTGTGTGTGTGACGTAAAATGGTTATTTTTCTAACCACAAACTATCGTCTTAGTATTTTTGCGCTTTAGAGGGGGATTCCCTTCCTGCATCTTATCTGCACAGACGAGTGTGAACAGGGTTCGTAGAGAGAAAGAGTGAAGACTGGAACAATGCCTCCTGAATCTGTGGGGCATCTTTTTATGAAATTATATATATATATATATATATATATATATAGGAAAAAGCCAATAATTAATCCATGTGTATCCCAAAAGTACCTCACTGTCGAGTGATTTCACTACCTCACCCGGAAACGTTAACCATAATTCTGAGTCTATTCCAGTGCCTTGAATACACTGACTGTTTCCCAGTCTCTCAGCAATGTAAAGTTCTCATCACCAATCGGATAGGTTCACATCTGCACTGAAGGGCTTCTTAGTGCATCAAAAAGAAATTCTATATATATTCTATACACTGACAACTCTGTTCATTTCTTATTTTGGACATTGCACCAGACTTGTAACCATTGTATTCATGGCAACACCAACGGACTGTTACAGAGTGTATAAAAACACAGACTAAAGGTGTTTTGGTTTTGATTGTCATGGAATGGATGCATAACTTTTATTTGTGCTGTTCAGCCTCTCTGTAATTTGTAGTGTCTAATAAAATCCCAATTCTTATCCGCTGTGTCTAATTTCTCCGTTCATCCATACATGTTTTTCTCAAAATGACCAATTCTTAATTACATCTGCAACCTTGCCACAATCATTTTAATAATTTCTGCTTGATGACTTGCCTTGTTAAAGGTTAAATATACAGTATACAGTTATAAAATAAGTATAATTATCAAAGGAGCTTGGCCAGACTGGTCTGTAGCATTGAGTATTGAAATGTATATTTTAAGTATTCAAAATTGGCACTAGTCTAGTATAGTTATTATTTAGATAATCTGAATAAAGACATTTTACACATTTGTACATTCTTTGTGCATTTGATTAGGTTTTGATCTTTAGTGTAATTATGGTGTGGAACCATAACCAGTTGTACTGGGAAGTGTGAATATCTAAGTTCCTAGTCGGAAATTCAACTGGACCGCCCCTTAAGGTCGGACTTTCTACTTGGAAACTCAGAGATACCTCGCCATCGATCATCCGTGATCATCATTCAAAATGGAGTCTCTGCATATGAACATTAAGAGAACACTTTGATAATATAAAATGTTTAGCTCTTCTGTATTATTTGTCTCATGAAATCAACTTTACATATGGTCCTGCTCATCTTCTATCAGTGGATATTTTATACAATGTTTGTATTTATAAAATACAAAATAAAGCAGTTATCAACCGTATTGCTAACAATGGCTAACTCGAGGTGACTGCTAAAGCTTTAAAGGTCACCTATTATGTAAAATCCACTTTTTCATGTCTTTTATACATAAACATGTGTCCCCTCTGTGTAAAGAGATTCTGAAAGTTTCAGGAAAAAAGATTTGCTCACTTTTTGTCCTGATCCATTTATATAAAAACCTGTCTGAAAATGAGCTGATCAGGCTAAGCAATCTATAAAGGTAGCCAGATCACATGTGGCCAATCCTTTTCCCTGATCAAAGAAGCTGGCTGGCTTTATGTGGAATCCTCACAATACAATTGTTTGTCTGCATGAATGATCTCTTATGAGAGGGATGTTTCCTTTTTTCCTCTGACACATTTTGTACGGAGTGTCTTGTCAGAGTGAGTGATGTCAGGGATCCAGCTGTGCGCTCTCCTGCCTGTCTACACGCAGAGAGCTGCCCTTGTTCCCCCCTTTTGTTTATCGCTGGACAAAGTGGGACCTTATGGCGCATTTCCACTACACGGCCTCGCTCTGCCTCGCTCGGTATGGCTAGGCCTCGTTAGGACTGGCTCACTTTATGGCGCATTTCCATTACAGTTTAGGAACTGGGGTAGTATCTATATAGTAACGCAGTGTAGGCGGAGCCGTGACGTCATCTTCAATGAGAACCCCAGAAAAACAACACAGCCGTTAGCTGTTAGCACTCAGAGCTCACAGCTCCTCATATATGTTCAGAAACTAGACAAAAGTTAAACAAGTACAAACCACAGACTGCCTGTGTCATGGCGAATACAGTCGCTGCTTTATTTATGTCTGTATAGGCCGTTGTTGTGAGTGTGGACGGTCGGAGCATATACTGCGTTAGCTTAGCCAATCTCCATTTAGAAAACACGCATTTTAAAAGGTTTTTCGCCTGCCGTCTGTCTGCAGACTTGTCAAAGCATTAATTCATGGTTTTTACTAACCGGTATCAGTATGTTGTTACTTCGGCATCATTTTGAAACGTGTATTACAATTAAATCACGGTCAAATATGTCCATCTTGTTG